TGTAAGGAAAATCTCATCTCATCTCAGTTCGTAGACACTAATGTAAGGAACATCTCAACTCAAGTAAGGAACGTCTCATCTCATCTCATCTCATGTAAGGAACGTCTTATCTCATCTCATGTAAGGAACGTCTCATCTCATCTCATCTCATGTAAGAAACATCTCATCTCATCTCATGTAAGGAACATCTCATCTCATCTCATGTAAGGAACATCTCATCTCATCTCATGTAAGGAACATCTCATCTCATCTCATGTAAGGAACATCTCACCTTATGTAAGGAACATTTCATCTCATCTCATGTAAGGAACATCTCATCACATGTAAGGAACATCTCATCACATGTAAGAAACACCTCATCTCATCTCATGTAAGGAACATCTCATCTCGTCTCGTCTCATCTCATGTAAGGAACATCTCATCTAATCTCATCTCATGTAAGGAACAACTAAGCTCGTCTCATCTCATCTCATGTAAGGAAATCTCATCTCATCTAAGGAACATCTCATCTTATGTAAGGAACATCTCATCTCATGTAAGAAAAACCTCATCTCATCTCATGTAAGGAACATCTCATCTCATATCCTCTCATCTCATCTCACGTAAGGAACATCTGATCTCATCACACGTAAGGAACATCTCATCTCACGTAAGGAACATCACATCTCAAGTAAGGAACATCTCATCTCATGTAAGGAACATCTCATCTAATCTCATATAAAGAACACCTCATCTCATCTCATGTAAGGAACATCTCATCTCATCTCATCTCATGTAAGAAAAATCTCATCTCATGTAAGGAACATCTCATCTCATATCCTCTCCTCTTCTCTCATCTCATCTCACGTAAGGAACATCTAATCTCATCACATGTAAGGAACATCTCATCTCACGTAAGGAACATCACATCTCATGTAAGGAACATCACATGTAAGGAACATCTCATCTCAGTTAAGGAACATCTCATCTAATCTCATCTCATATGAGGAAGATCTCATCTCATCTCATGTAAGGAACATCTCATCTCAGTTCGTAGTCACTAATGTAAGGAACATCTCATCTCATGTAAGGAAAATCTCATCTCATGTAAGGAAAATCTCATCTCATGTAATGAACATATCTCATCTCACGTAAGGAACATCACATCTCATGTAAGGAACATCTCATGTAAGGAACATCTCATCTCAGTTC